TCTTTGTTGCTCTTCTCTGTACTCTTTCTAGAGTCTCAGCATCTTTTTTGCATCGTGACCAAAACTGGATGCAGTATTCCAAGTGTGGCCTTACCAAGGCATTGTAAAGTGGTATTAATACTTCACGTGATCATGATTCTGTCCCCCTGTTAATGCAGCCTAGCACTGTGTTGGCTTTTTTGGCAGCTGCAGCACACGGCTGGCTCATATTTAAGTGATTGTCCACTAGGACTCTGAGATCCCTCTCACAGTTACTACTATTGAGCAAGGTACCCCGTATACTATACCTGTACATTTGGTTTTTCTTGCCTAAATGTAGAACCTTGCTTTTTTCACCATTGAATTTCATTTTGTTAGATAGCGCCCAGTGTTTAAGTCTGTCCAGGTCCTCCTGTATCCTAAGCCTGTCTTCTGGAGTGTTGGCTATTCCTGCTAGCTTGGTGTCATCCACAAATTTGATGAGTTCCCCATCTATCCCCTCATCCAAATCATTGATGAAGATGCTGAAGAGCACTCAGATAGACACTGCCTGAGTTCACAGGAGTATTGGTGGATGGGGGTTGGGAGGAAGCACCATCGGAATTGCAAGGCTCTGTTCCTACAGCCGATAAAACACAACTTTCTTGATCTGGTACCAATAGTGAGGAAGGAAGCAGGGAGGAGAAACCATCAGATCAGAAATTCAACCTCCGTGTCCCAAGCTGAAGGTGGAGGCTTCTCTTGCTTGGGAAACTTAACGTTTGGAAGCATCTGTCTTTTGCAAGTGTCTATGGAGATTATCCGTCATCCAGGACATGGTGGTCCCCAAAGGAGCTTTTTCAGGAGGCAACTGGACGTTCTTGTTTTATCTTTGAAGAAGATGTTTTGTTTCTCATCCAAGAAGCTTCTTCAACTCTGACTGGATGGTGAGGAATGGAAGGATTTATGTTGCTTGCAGAGAGTTGGCGATTTGCCTTCTTTTAGAGAGTCATTGAGGCCATTTGGAGGTTTACCTGTGTCATCAGGATCACCTGAGTAATGCAAATGTGTGTGGAGCCTTCTTGGTTGCAGGAGGTTTTCTGCCCTGTGTCCCTCACAGCCTGTGCTGTGCTGAGACACAGGACAGAAAACATCCTGCAGCCAAGAAGACTCCACATCCCTTTACACCACTTAGGTGACTCTGAGGCCACAGGTAAACCTCCAAGTGGCCTCAACAGCTCTCTAAAAGAAGGCAAATGACCAACTCTCTGCAAGGAGTATAAATCCTTCCATTCCTCACCAACCAATCAGAGCTGAAGAAGCTTCTTGGATGAGAAGCGAAACATCTTCAAAGGAAAAACAAGAAAGTCCAGTTGCTTCCTGAAAAATGTCTTTTGGAAGGTTACACCTGTGTCAGGTGAATACAAGGAAACAAGCAACAAAAATACAACTCTTCTGATTACGTAGCCAAGCCTTAGAGACCAAGGAGAAAGACACGTTGAAAAACACAAATCACCTGGGCAATATGGCTGGGCTCTTAACATGAGCATCTGTGTTAATTTTTTATTTTTAGGAATGGGAATTTGACAATTGTGGAGTTTAGCTCCGGTTTATCTTACTGGCATATCAAGAACACAGGGGCCTAACCTCCAACCGCCAGGAGGGACGTTCAAAAGTAATGTTAGGAATCCCAAATGTGTTTTGTTTTTTTTTTCCCCCAAAAGGAAACTGGATTTTCTTGGATTTTGTTTCTTTTGAAAATGTTTCGTTTCTCATCCTTCAGTTCTAACTCAGTTAAGTGAAACGTTTTCAAAGGGAAAAAAAAACAAAACAAGAAAATCCAGTTTGCCTTTTGAAAAAAGAACCTTTGGGACAACCATGATTTAGACCATTGAGAAATCTCTATAGACATAATGTTAGGAAGTATATCTATGGAGATTCTCAGCCATCCAGGTCATAGTTATCCCAAAGGTGCTTTTTCCCACGAGGCAACTGGACTTTCTTGTTTTTCTTTGGAGACGTTTCGCTTCTCATCCAAGAAGCTTCTACAGCTGAACAGGAAGCATGACTTCACAAGAAGAATAGTGGAAGTTTGGAACCAAATTCTAGAAGAATTAGTGGGTCAGTCATCAGTAACATGCTTGGGATAAACACATGTCCATCATCTGGCAAAAATAAAAATATATATATAATTAATTAATTTATTGATGATTGATTGATTGAAAAGAAAAAAATCTCAAGGGCAGAGTCAATGGACAACTACCGTGTTTCCCTGAAAATAAGACCAGGTCTTATGTTAATATTTGCTCCCAAAGATGCATTAGGGCTTATTTTCCAGGGAAATACGGTACTAAATGCGTCCATCTGGCTGAC